AACTCCCATCCATCCTGAACTCCCTTTCCTTTAGTATTCCTGACCACACTCCGGGTGTTTCCCTAAGTTTGTTGAAATCAGCTCTCCTAAAGTCTAGAATGAGTGTTTGACTATTCCTAGCTTCTCCTTTCTACTGTATAAGAAACTCCAGGAGAACATGATCACTCCCACCTAAGGATCCCACCACTTGCAGCCCCTTTACCAGGTCATCCCTGTTGGTTAGGATCAGAAATAAAATAGCTGATCCCCTTGTTGCCTCTTCCACCTTTTGGACAAAGAAATTGTCTTCAAGGCAAGTGAGGAATTTGCTAGACCTTGGAGTATTGGCTGAGTTTGACTTCCAGCAAATATCAGGTTAGTTGAAGTCACCCATCACTACTACATCTCTCCTTTCTGAGTGTGTGGTCATCTGTTCTAGAAAGGCATCATCCAATTCCTCAGTGTGACTTGGGGGTCTGTAGTAGACTCCTACTATACCATTCCTGTTGTTTCCTCCCCCATTAATTTTTATCCAGATGCTCTCCACCTGATTTCCAGGATTTAAGTCCTGGATCTCTTCACAGGTGTAAACATCCCTGACATATAATGCTATTCCTCCTTTCCTTTCTTTCTTTCTTTTGTTTGAGGGCTGCTGTTTGGAGATCCAAGATAGAATGAACAGGAAGGTTAAATGTGGAACCCCCAGTATCTGCAGGTTCAATAGCCATGGATTTGACCAACCGCAGCTTGAAACTAAGGTCTGAAACAGACAGGCCAAAAGAAGCAGTTTCTGGCTGCTTCAGGGGCATGTGGCTGGCTTTGGGACTGTGGTGGTGGCCCGCTTTGAGAGTGGGCTGTGCACTCACCTCAGTCCTGGGCTAATAATGGCCTGATTGTGGCCCAAGCAGCAGGAGGCCTAACTTTCATGGGCATGTTTCTGGTGGACAGGTCTAAGGCTTGTATATAGAAACATACTGGAGTAGAGTATACACGTGCAAATGGATCTTGTAGCATCCTTAACATTCATATTCCAGATTAACATGGCTATGTCTCTGTATACTGGATCTCAGTACCCTAAAGGCACCAGGTCCTTTCTGATCTTGGAAGCTAAGCAGGGTCAGCCCTGGTTAGTACTTGGATGGGAGACTGCCAATGGACACCAGGCAATGTAGGCTATATTTCAGAGGAAGGAACTAGCAAAGCCACCTCTGAGGATCCCTTGTCTAGGAAAACCATGTGAAATTCATGTGGTCACCATAAGTTGACTGGAAACCTGAAAGCACATAGACACAAACACATGAATACCAGGTACTCTAGGCTATATTTTAAAAAAGACAGCAACAAACCACCTCTGAATATTCTTTCCCTAAGAAAATGCTATGGAATTCATGGGTTGCCATAAGTAGATGGATGACTCAAACACAAAACACACACACACACACACACACACACACACACATATGCTAGAGATTATAAAAATCCTTTAGACGTTTCCTGTTTTAAAAAGTAGTGCCTCTTGTTTTGTTACCTTGTTAGAATTGTTCTCATACAAGGCATCCTTTGGAATTTACACCATGCTGTGTGATTAGTGTAGTAATAAGGTCATTTGTGTGAGCCATCAGCTGACAGAGCACACGAAAAGGAACTTGACAATACAAACTCTCCAATTTCAATGAGATTTCTCCTGGGTCAATTAAGCTGAATGGTTTAAAGGCAAGAGCTCTGTTTTGCCATCTTCATGGCAGCACATTTATTTCAATGTTGTCTCATTAAAAATAAGTATCTTGTATACTGAGGCAACATAAATAAATGGTTCTATTTTACTTCTCTCTGAAAGGGCCAGACTCTGTCTTGTTAGCTATCCTTGAGATGAGAATAATTCTAACAAGGTAACAAAACTCTGACTCACGGCGACCATTTGGATGAGACACCTCCAAGACTTCCTAACTTCCACTGCTCTGCTCAAGCCCTGCAGACCCATGCCTGTGACCCCCCC